TGTTCTCCAACATTAAGCTGTCCAAATTTCTCAACAAATCACATGTCCAAATTTTTTGGTCTATGGTCAATGGCCCAGCCAAATGGAAAGGGTTATTCTTTTTTATAAATAATAATTGTAGTCGTGTTTTATCATTTAGAATAAATTTGTGTTATTTCTCAAAAATGTGCAAGTCTTAATGTATATGTTTTTTGTAAAGATGTAATTATCGATATTTTTTTCAGCAAATCACAAAAAGTAGATAGAAAACTTGTTCCTATTCCACAATGCAATCAAAATTTCATAAGAGCCAGCATGGATACAAAGAATACAGCTATCAAGTCATTTATAAACCGTCAATGATCACGCGTTTGTGTTGGTCCCCATTTTTTGGTATCTTTAATTTGTGTATTTTTATCAGTTTTTTTTAATATTTATCGATATTCTTTTCAATAAATCAGGAATTACAACTGAAGTAGTTATAACATCTAGAAAGGTTACTTTTTCAAAATAATAAAGGCTTCCAACCCACAGATCTCGAATGAATTGAATGAATTGTATTTGTCATTACTTACCAAGCCGTTTTTGAGGATACTATTTTTTTCACATTTTATATTGATGATATTATTCTTTTTTTATTTGTGAAATAAAAGTTTAGGTGAGTTGAATTTTAAAAGTTTAAAATAATTAGGACATGCTTTGTGACTCCACCAAAAATACTCACAAAAATGATTATTTTCTGTTATGGATCCCGTATTACATTAGCAACGTGCTTTGAACACGTTTTTATCAGCTACACCAATAATCTTGACTGGCCTATGGATTTTTTTTTCTTCTTGCCACCGACTGGCCTATGGATTTGATCTTGAATTGTCCCTATGTAGGAAATTATTTAGCTAGTAACAAATTGACAAAAATGTTGACATAAAATGATACACTAGATTGGGAAATGTCATATTGTAAACATGAATACAAAAAAAAAATGCTTAGAAAATTCTTGCATACTCGTAACCTCTCCTTCTTTTACGTTTTAGTATCTAAAATAAATTAATTGTTGATTATCATCTCTCTCAATATTTAGATAGCGAAATAATAATTTTTGCTATGCATATTAATTATTTCAACAGCGAACCTGATGATCTTGTTATTACAATTTATGGTTCATGATACTTAATGTAGATGCTATGAAAGTTGATATTGACACATTGCTTATCATTTGATATTTGAAGGGGCCATTCCAAATGAGATTGGTGATCTTCAACGGCTACAGAAAATATATCTTGGAAGTAATCAACTTTCGAGCTCTATACCAATCTCCATATTTAATAGTTCAGCACGACATATCATTGAACTTGGCTACAATAATTTAAGTGGGAGTCTGTGTTGTAAATATTATGTATGGGTGTGTCAAAGGAAGAGTCCCACATTGCTTGGGATTATGAGGGTCCAAGTAATAAGTGGTCTTGGGCTACCAAATGGGCCAAGAGGAGGAGTGGACTTACGTGCACAATGGGCCACCGGAGACAAATCCGGCAATTTCCCCTATCCCCCTTGTGCACGAGTCAAATGCGGTACTGGGCACTTTATTGGAAATATCCATCTAAATTTTAATTATAATTATGCCTCTTCAATGTTCGTAACCGAAGACTTTATTCTCCTTAAATAGTCATTAAACAAGTTAATTACTACTTGAAACCGCTCATTTAATTATGAGTTAATTATCATTAAGCGCGTTTAAATGTGCCCAATGGTATTGTGATCCGTAGCCTATAAAAGGGGCATGAGACGCAAGTTCAAACAGGGACCGCTGTGCTCTGAGCTTTCTGGCAACTCTCTTCCCTCCTCTGGGGTTCTGCCTTACTGAGTTCTTTTACCTTTTGCTGTTCTGCTCACCCTGTTCTTATAGGAAGAATCCGTTTAATCCTGGGGAGTGCCGCTTCTTGCTTTGCCGGTAGTTGCGGAATAGCTCTTAAGGACAGTGTCTGTAAGACACGACTCGGATTTACCGTTCTCTGCAGGTGTTGCTATCAACAGGGTTTGCCTAGCATTATAGAGGAGGTGGAAGATCTGCTAGATCTTAGAGAATTTTGGTGCTGCCGCCAACAGTCTGCCAACAAATTTGTGTTTTGGGCTTCCGAAACTTGAAAGATTAGACGTCCATAAAAATGATTTGTCAGGGGAGCTGCCCTCCATTTGGCATCAATGCAAGGAATTGGCAGACTTGAGGTTGGGGGATAACAACTTCAATCCAGGAAACATTCCAAGTGAGTTTGGAAATTTGACCAAACTTCAGTGGCTATATCTTGGCAGAAGCAACTTGAAAGGTAAGAGTTTTCATTATATGATTGTTTTAGATTTTGTTGTTAGATTACTTTTAAAGACATGGAACTTGATTCTTTCTCTCAATCCCAAAATGAGTATGCTTTCTTTTATAGAGTATATATTTTTCACAAAAATTTCAAAATTTGAAATAAAATATTGAATCATTGAAAAACATGGGAGGCCGAAGAGAAGGACTTGGTTGGCTTTCAATGTTTCTTTGTAGCCTCTTGTTTTTCATTTTCTACTGCATTTTCTTGTCGGTGACTAGATTTGATTGTTTTTTATCATATGAATTTCTCCACGAATTACACATTGATCCTGCTGAGAAAGAAAAACCTCATGCCTTACATAAAACATAATATATGTTATCCTTTGAGTGTCATGCCTGTTTTTAAAAATAACTTTAGTTATCTATTAGCGTTATTTTAAAAAATGAGCAAGTCTTTAACATGCAAAGGAAATATAGTTTAAAAAAACGATAAAACATTACACACGCAACTCCATCAACATTTCTACTTTAAAAGAAAGTATATCTAGAATACAAGCCCTTTGCAAGTAAGCTTGATCTAACCATCCCTTAACTTTACACTTTAACAACTTTTTTATTTATTATTTATATATAATTTTTACACATATCTAAAAGTGAAAAACATGGGAGCCCGAAGAGAAGGACTTATAGTTGGGTTTCAATGTTTCTTTGATCCTGCTGAGAAAGAAAAACCTCATGCCTTCCATAAAAAATAATATATTATCATTTAAGAGTCATGCCTTTTTAAAATAACTTTAGTTAATTATAGAATAGTGTTATTTTTAAAAATGAGTAGATCTGTAGCATGCAAAGGAAATATAATTTAAAAAATTGATAGAACACTCCGAATAGTCTGAAAACGGTGTGTGTATATATATTCCATATATATATATATGTATGGGTGTGTCTATATATATATGTGTAATACACACAACTCCATCAACATGTCTACTTTAAAAGAAAGGATACTACAATACAGCCCTTTAACTTTACACTTTAACAAATTTTTTATTTTCTATGTATGCTTATTCTATATTGCCTGCAAAATTTTTAACCGAAATTGCTTTAAGAGTGAAAATTCTAGTATACAGTGCTTTGTTGAAAAAATTCATTTGCTAATTATACTATATTATCTCCAGAAAGTGTAACTGGAAGTATTTTAACTCCTTAAATAGTGAAAACTAAATTTTCCTATAAAGAATTTATCATATTCAAAGTTAGAGCCTTGGAAGTATTAAATAATTTATATGAAAGCTATAAATAATTTGATTGTTTATTTTAAATAGTTGAAATTAATTACATAATCTATCTTTAGCATTTCTTCTTTGAAAGAAATTTTACTGTTCAATTGTTCATTGATATTAGAAGAGTCCCTTTTAAATTGCATTCCAATAAAAAATAAATTATTTTATAATAATTTTAAGCCTCTAATTAACACAACTCCATTCATTATGAATTCATGAAATTCCTAGTCAGCTAATTAACAAATATTTTGTATCTGTTTATAGGTAATTTGCCAGAAAAAATGTTTCATCATCTCCCTTTACTTGAAATCCTTGGTGTTGGTGGTAATCAATTAGAGGGAAGCATTCCACAGTCAATAAGTAACAGCTCATATTTGAAAGAATTGTATTTGGGTTCGAACTCATTTACAGGTATGCACTTACTTTTGTGTTTTCTTTTTGTTTTTAATATTTTTTTCTCTAAAATGAAAGTTTGTTTTTCATCATTTCGTTCATATTGTTCGTAGTTCATATGATAGGGCTTATATACAACTAGTGGTTACAATCCCAAAATAACAAATAAAGCTAATATCTTGAACAAATGGAACTATTATGCTTTCCAACAAAACCTAAATTATTTTCTATTAATTACATGGATTATTTACACGGTTGTGTGTAACACATGATTGATTGGCAATTACTAGCTAGAAAGTATATGCAATGTCATGGTTATAAGATATTTGCTTTCTTCCTTTTTAATATTGGTATGACACGCGTAGTTTTTTTCCGGTTAAAGTATATATGTATATTATTAGATGCAAATAATATGACCAGTTTTATTTTTCTTCTTTTAAGTCCATTTATTATTATTTTTTTCAATACACATAAGTCCGTTCATTCTCTTTGTTGCTAATAGATAATATTTGGATGCCAACCTCTTTAGGAGCATGGGATTATTATATCCTATTTTTATTCCTTTCTTTGTTTTCTTTCATTATTTTCTCTAATAGATCAAATTTTGCAACACCTCACTTTTATATACTAATAGGATCATTTTAACGTCTGTGAATCACTAACGCCAGGTTTCCGTCCTGGGAAAAGACAGGGAATTTTTTTTTCCCCCAATATTGGAATTCGTCGATCAAATTTCAAACCTTTTAGAGTAATTGAAGAGTGATCCAATATCAACCCTGCTTTCAACTTAATCTATTATCACCTAAAATAATTTCATACTATACAATCTTATAATATTATATTAAAAATAAAGCAACGCTCTTGGTTGACAGCATAAACGTGCACCTGGCAATGCTCACCTCCTTCTTCTAGAGGATACAAAATAATATTTCCATAGAGCAAGTAAAGTTACTTGCCCATATATTTTGCTATACAATTTACAGAATTATAACAGGTATCTCTGCTCTTCAACCAGCTCACCTTCTTTTCAAACAACCTCCTTATCCTTCGAGCTACTAGGCTTCACTGTTCATCATAAATGGGAGGGTGAGATTCTAAAGAATCCCCGTAGTAGTAATTTCCATCAAACAAATGTGCAGATTACATAAAGCATGCAAAACAAGCCAAAGTGGAACATAACCTTGCAAGCTAATGCAATTAAGCATTTATGCGCAATGACAGATAGACCAGCTGAATAAATAATGCGCAAATAATTGACAATCACTGCCCCATGTCTATAGACAAGCTGAATAAATAATGCGCAAATAATTGGCAATCACTGCCCCATGTCTATTAGACAAGCTGAATCAATAATGCGCAAATAATTGGCAATCATTACCCCATGTCTATTAGACAAGCTGAATAAATAATGCGCAAATAATTGGCAATCACTGCCCCATGTCTATCAGCTACACGTGATCACGGCTAAATAATCCATGCAAGGAATTAAGGATTACATGTTCTCATGCTTTAGAAAAGCAATATGGCACAAACAGACATGCAGCAATCATACACAAGTGTAAGGTAGGAAAGAACTACTACCTGAACCTTCTGCTTCAAAATCAAACCTTACTTGTTTCCTTTCCCTTAGCTTCTTCGGTGGGCTTTTGTAGATATCAAAACCTATTATTTTAGTAAGGGTAGGTTAATGCTTGATCCAACTAAAATTCATAAATTAGAAATCTCTCTTAAATTCCAATCCTTTTTCAATCTCTACCCTTACTTAATAGTTGGTCATCCTGGACAATTTTCTTATTCAAACTATTCTCTTTGAAAGGCTTCCTTCCTTATCTCAACTCATATAGTTACTTTACTTAGTAACTGGTCATCTTGGTCAAAAAAAATACTATTTCTATTTATTATATTTGAAGGCAAATAATAAGTTCCCTATACTTAAACATTCTAATCTTATTGAAATTAAATCAATTAAAATTCAACTCTACTTCTTTCACCAGTTTGGCCGAGACACACAGCCAAACTACAAGTACTCACCTAAATTTCCATGCACTCATAAATATTTTCATAATTAACTAAACATCATTCTTAATCTCTTAGATCCCAACTTAAACTTCCTTAAACAAATATCTAACTTTAAGTTTATCTGGCGATCAAATAGCCATTAACTTTAATTCTCACAGTTCACACCTTTAACCTCTATGATCCTCATTAATCTGAATATTTAAGGACCCCAAAATCATACATCCAGAAGTAATAAACCCCCGTAACGGAAGTCACTAACAAACATATATATATATATATGTAAGTATAGCTTTCTAACTCATTTTCCTATCTCTCTTCATGGAAATGACAACACGCACCTACTCTCAATGCCCACGGTCAACATTCACAACAATTGAATTCATATATATTTATTTGCACACCCACACCCCTCTTCTAAAACCCCATTCCAAGCAGCGTGGCATCCGTATGTGTGTGTGTGTATATATATATATATATATATATATATTTATATCTATGTGTACAGCTCGGTTACTCTGGTATTTAAGAGTTTCATATCTCTCCATTATCCCAAAACTAAACCAGCGGCTTCAAGAAGATAACAGCCCCTGTCTCGGTACCTACAAACCAGAGCAACAGCACATGAAATCTAGAAAATTTATACAGTTGTGTTCACTACTTTATTATCAGAACCCGACACCCAACCCTTCAAAACTTAACCCCTGTTTTCGGTTGACATAAACAGAGCAAGGAACCTACATGCAAGCTTGAAAACCAACATCAAACACTTCAATCTACCCATAGAATCCGAATCCATCGGTCCTCTTATCCTTTCCATCACTTTCTCTCACTACCCTTCTGTCTCTCTCTCCTCAAACACGCCATAAACATGACCGAAACCAGAAAATGAAAACAGTGATGGACATGTGAAGCTCACCTGATTCAGAATCCAAGTTTGCATGCAAGAAAAACTACCTCCGATCAATTACTCCGTCGCCAACCTCTTCCTCTCACGGTCTGTCCCTCGCGCTCTCTCTCTCTCTCTTACAGCGTTGCAGAATGAAGTGAAAAGGGAGGGTAGGATCGGTCTGGAGGTTAAAGAGCCAGAACACGTGGATGACTAGCTGATAATTGAGGGAGTGAATCAGGTGGCAAACAAAGAAGGCAGCACGTGTACTACATGGTTGCTGAGTCATTTTGCCCTCCTAAATAATTATTCCTCCAATCTTATTCCTTCTCCTATTTTTCTGAAATATAAGATATATCCAGAAATTAAACCAAAATATCATAAATGGATTTTTCTTATCCATTAGCTTCTTTGACCCATAAAATAATTTTCCTAAGAAAATAACCCATTTTGCTATGAAAATAGCTTTAAAATCATTTAAGCCAGTTTTTGGGGAATGAACTTTTCCAAAATATTTCTAAATCTTGAAAAATCAATATTCCATAATTTTCCCCAATTGTGATTGAGCTATTAAATAATTTTAATGAACTTTCTTTTTTCTACTCATCCTGAGTCAAAAAATTCGGGATGTTACAAATTTAAAATGAGATTTTATTTCCATCATCTCATTAATATTGCACATACACATATCCGTGATGGGGCTTTAAATATAGCTAGTAATTTACAATCCCAAAATATCAAAAGATCAACTTTTTTTTTTTTTTGGACTCAATCAAAAGATCAACTTCGAAACGACGGTCGTAGCCCTTGATCTATCTTTTATTTTTCCCTTTTAGATCGGTTTCTCTTGTAGAATAAAACCAAAAAATGAGATTTTTTTTTTGTCATTTCCTTCATTCATATCACTTATACTATGTTTAATTAGAAGGCACAACATCATGCATAATATTTGTATATTTGTGAAGAGGTATAGTTTTTAATTTTTTAAATTCATTAATTTCAAATTAAATATCGTTGCCAATAAAAATTAATTAATTATTCAATACACTGATCATGTCACCGCAAGTGTAATTTATGGTTTTCATAATTTTTTATTCTGAAATTTTAAAAAGAGTTAAAATTAATGTAAAAATATTTTTTCTTGTATATTTTGCTCTTCTTAATTGGAATGAGTATTACTTGAAATTCTTTTGTTATATTTAAAGTTCTCGACTTATTCTTAGGCATGTCATAGTTAGTAATATTTGTAAATTTTTGTATGGTAGGATAAGTTTAATATTGAAAAACAGAAAAGTTTGCAGTTGTGCCTTTTTCCTGATCTATTACACACACATATATAGTTTAAAGAATTGAAGAGTTTGCAATAGACAAGAAACTTATTTAAATAAACTAAGTATAACATATCAATTTTGAATAATATATAGAAGTCAATTAAGAAATTTAAATACAATTCATTAAACTCTAGTTCAATCATATTTGAGCTCAATATATACGAGGCGTTTTAAATAGTCAGACAAATAATTAAATTATACTCCTCTAGTTTTTAATATAAGACCTATTTAACTAGTTTGACTAGATTAAAGAAGTTAGGTAAGTTAGTTAATTATAAGAAATATGACATGTTTTTTCTAAAACACTATAATCATCTTTCTTAATATCCCCTCTCCTTCTTCTACTTGATTATGGTTGAGGAATTTAAGTATCCATATGGATAATTTAGAAAAAAAAATAATAAATATGAGAAATAGGTTTTATATTTAGGATCAAAATCAACTCAACGATTAGGTTCTATATTAAGAACCGGAGGAGTATTATTTTAAGCCATTCATATTGAAGTGGAGCTATTCCGTACGTTCAATTTCTTATATAAAATTAACTAAAGCATAAAACTTTTCACTAAGAAACGTGTAATTTTTTGAATATATTACCTATATATATATTTGCTTTATTTTCTTTTTAAAATTCGTACAGTTATGAAAATGTGAGTACCTATCATTATACATGTACTTTATGCATATTATACAAAAACATTATGAACTGTTTTATTTTTCTATTTAAATGCCAACCTCTTTATAATCATTAAGATTGTAAAATAAATTTAAGATGAGATTTTATCTTTTCGTTTCATTAATATTATACATATTTATGATGGAGGTTTAAATATAGGTAGTGATTTACAATCACAAAATAACAATGATTTTGTTTTTTTTCCTTTTTAGATATTTTCTGTATTAGAGTAAAACTAAAATGAGATTTTTTTTTTGGGTCATTAAATTCACGTTCTTCATTCATAGAGTGTGTCTTACACTAAGCCTCTTATTACAATGCCAAAATAGGGGGGGAGGGGAACTAAGATCGTGAAGTAATGGGATCACCGAATATTCAAAATGTGGAAAACAATTTTTCAAAAATTTTTACTCTTAATCTGCCACATCATTTATATATTTTGATCAATAAAATGACTTCCATATGTAATTTATCCAGGAATCATTCCATTTGAGATTGGAAATTTGACAAACCTCAAATTCCTTAGTCTTAGCTACAACAATTTGCAAGGTAACAATTTTAATTATATGATTGTCTTACACTATGTGTATGCTTTTGTTTTTGAAACCCGTGAATGAAAGGTAATTTTTAAATGAGATTTTGCTTTTATTTTTTCATTCCCTTTAAAGTATCGTGAGAAGTTTACCAAAAAGTTTGCATTCACATTAAAAATCTTTTAAAAGGAAAAAACTAAAATATACATTTGGTCCTTTATGATTGTATTAAATTTTGTTTTAATCCCTTAAATTTATAAAATGCATTTTTTGGTCCTTCAATCTTAACACCGTTGGTTTCATCTAATGGAAATGCTAACTCATTAAACTTAAGTTGATGAATGTGTGATTAAACAATAACAAAGCATCCACAAAAAATCGAGTTATTTTCATTTGAATTTTTCAATTTTCACAAATAAAACTATTATATTAAAAAGATTAAAATGGAGAAAAATTCTTAGATGCACCCAGTGTGCCACGTCATCTGTGCTCTAGCAAATGAATATATAGCATTTCATACCATTTTAATCTCATGTGTCAGGCTTTTTATCTCCATTTTAATTATTTAAAAAATAATTAAAAAATTTCAAGGATTTTTTCTGTTGCCTCCTCCATGTTCTCCCTCCCTCCCTCCATGGCTTCACTGGTCGAACTCCCTCCCATCCTTTTCATTCGGAAATTCCAGCCCCCACCCCTCATCTTCGCAACTAGAAAGATTACAGCAAGAATGAATAAGAGCCAGAAGAAGAAATTTAAAAATCTGCAACTTCCGGTCTCCCTTCCAAATCCACAACTTTTGAAAACTCCGATGATGAAAACGGCGACCTTAAAGAAGACAAGAAGATAACGATGTCTTGCGTGTAACGCGTCTTATGCCGACATCTTGAACCCACTGCTTTTGCGGCGGACCTTCTTCATCTACCTTAAAAAAGAGGCACTAATGGACATTCAGCAGGAGAAATTCAGCTTAAAAAAAAAAATTGGTTTGGCTGAAGGGGGTTTGGATGAAGAACCGGGGGGGGGGGGTGGAGTTTCTGAAATGAAGAAGATAGGAGGGAGGGAGTTCGGCGTGAAGTCGTGAAGGGAGCAAGAAGAGAAAACAGGAAGGGGTAGCGAATTACAAAACCCAGGAATTTTTTAATTATTTTTTAAATAATTAAAATGGAAGCGTGTTTTGTTAATATTTAATTGCATAGTCATCACTTACGTTTGATGAGTGAGCATTCTCCATGAGATAAAATTGAAGGACAAAAAATACACTTTATAAACTTAAAGGACTAAAATGAAACTTAATGCAAACATAAAGGACCTAAGCTACACTTTAACCAAAAGAAAAATAAAATAATTTTGGATCATTAAAAAACTAGGAAGGCCCTGTGAAAATCGATCTGGGAAAAAGCCAATATTTGATGTGGTACAGTAAGCTTCAAGATAACTCCCAATTTTACCCCAACAAAAAAGTCCTTAAAAAGAGAAATAAAATATAATTTTGGATCATTATAAATATGTGTTTGCTGTTTGTTTTTATAAAGTATTCCATTTCTTTTTAAACAGCCTGCTGATTAACTATGTCAAGTCAGAGATACCTAAATAATGTTGTTGAGCAAACCAGATTTACTACCAACAAACAAGCATTTGCAATGCTACCAACAAACTGAGAGTATTTTAGTTCTTAAATGAAATCTTAAATTTTAGCCTTTTTCTTCGCAATTCATCCTTCGATTTTCAAATTAGGACCTTGTAAATATTAAATAAATTTAATACAAAATATAAATAATTCGGATGTTCATTTTTGATAGATGAGATTATTCTATAGTCTCCCTTCAACCATTCTTCTTTAAAAGAAATTTAATGTCCAATTGGTCATTGATATTTGAAGAGTCCTTTTAAACTGCCGTCCAACAAAAACTAAATTATTTTCTATTAATTTTAAGCCTCTAACTAACAAAATTCCATGTCTTATTTATATTGCTAATGCCTGTGTACTTGTGAATTTATTAGGAACATGCTTGCCATACTACCAAGTAATTAACAAATATTTTGTATTTATTTATAGGTGAAATTCCTTCATTTCTTTGGAACATGCCTTCTTTAAAACAGATTAGCCTTGACATCAATCATTTAAAGGGTAGTTTGTCAGAAGAAGTGTGTCATCATTTCCCTTTACTGGAAGTCTTTGGTGTTGCTGCTAATCAATTAGAGGGAAGCATTCCAAAATCAATAAGTAACTGCACATCTTTGAAATCATTATATTTGGATTTAAACTCATTTACAGGTATGCATTCACTTACTTATGTGTTTTCTTTTCTTCTTAATATGTTTCTGTAAATTGAGATTTTGTTTTTCATCATTTCATTCATATGAACAGATGGATGTCGTGAAAAACCGAAATTAAATCCTCACATATACTATTCAATGACAAAACTTCAAACCATACATAATGGTCCCATCATGCGTTATGCCAATACTTTTTTTTTTTTTTCAAAATTTCATCTGCCTCTTAATTATTTTAATTTTATGTTTTTTCTCCTCTTAATACTACTATTAAAATAATATTAAAATG